AATTCATCCTAACCTGAGGTGATCTGAGTCCAGAGATTTTTTACCGTGAAATTACCGTGCCTTTGTTTACTAGCTAGCATCATTATAGCCTGTTATGCTCCTCTTGTGTGATGGCTGTGTCACCTACTACGCTGTTTGAGTTTGTTGCATATTAGGTCACAAAAATGTACCTACATAAAAAGCCATCTTTTTAAATTCTTAGATACAATGCTAATAAATTTCCTACATTTGCAACGCCATTAAAAAATCAATTTACCTTCACGCTCAAACAATTTTCCCACATCTTTTCCCAAATTTCACTCAAATCAACCCATTTCCAAAGAAACGCTCTGAACTACAAGTAAAAGCCATTTGCCAAAAGTCGACTGTATTGTCAGCGGGAGGAGCAGCGCACACTGAGACAATATCATTTTGGTTGATTGCTTGGGGTTTTTTCATATTTGTGTTAGTAATTACACCAAGTGGGAGTTGAAGTTTGACTATCTCTAAGTGGGAGATATTCCAGTGAGTTTCGGATGTGTGTACGTGTGTGTATGTGTGCAGTGGAGCTATGCAAAAGGCAGTTTAATTAGACTTCCAGCTGGGATTAGGTGATTCAGGATTGTAATCTGGCCAGAGCAGAGGCAGCCAAGGCTATGACACTGGCACTGCTGTGAATTCTCCAGGACGCCTGCCTAATCCCATGCCTCCTGTCCCCTCTGTCTGCCTGTCTCACGCGGACATTTCATTTTGCTTTCATCTTTGTCGTATACCTTCTTTTTACTTTGCTTGTATTTTTTTCAGCCCCCAGAGTATGACACTGCAATTTTGCTCCTGTCTTTTACTTTTCCGTTTCAAGTGCCATCTTCTTCTCCAACTTTATGTCACTGCGCATCCGCAAATCTCCTCTTTGGTTTTCCTTTAGTCCTCCTGTTCTCAGCATGCTTCTCTGAAAAGAAGTTCTAGGAGTTTAAAAACTGCATAATCGCAACCAAGTTCAGGGATATGGGCTGTATGTATAACTTACATATGTACTGTGTAATGTTATGTATGTACTGTATGTATGTATACATGTGTGTATGTGGTGAGTCTGGGAGTGATTGTTGCTACATACCCCTTCTTCTGAACTTGTCCATACCATACTTGCTGTCTGACTTTACCTTAAAGTGCATATGATATGTTTTCATTCTTTTCTGATTATTACTTTGTTTTGTTGGATAGTGCTTGTGGAAAATTTTAATTATAGTTTTATAGTTTCAGTTAAGTGGGATTTTGTGGGGGGAAGTTGAGAATAAGTAGAAAACATACAGGAAATATCAGTGACTTCTAAAACTTCACTCCGGTGGTTCTCAAAGTGGGGTCCTTGGAGCATGTGTTGTGTGGCTCTCAAAAATTGTGATAAAATTTATCATTACTTAAATTCCATACTATACATACATACGAACTATACTAACATACTGTTTTTGATAGAAACAACTACCATGTTTTACGGGCTATTAGGTGCGCTCTTAAACCTCTAACTCCATCAAAAAACGACCGCGCATACACGAATCCACTCAGGTGTCCCAGCAGGACTTCAGTAAACTACAAAGCCGCACCACCCGCAGCTCACTCAATGCGGACGAGGAACGGAACGAAGGAACGAACCAAAAAAGTGAGTCCAGTGTGCCACTCTGAGCCACAACTGAACAACTGAGTCACTGCGAACACGCCGACAATCCAGAGGTCCCAGACAGCACCCTCTCTACATGCCACAACTGAACAAAGCCCAGAGTCACCGTGAACGCGGCAAACAAAGTCCCACTGACCCATCCAACTGTTGTGTTTCGTTTAAAGTCCAGTGCGTTTTTTTTGTGAAAAAAGTTCGAAAATAGACAATTTAATGACAGTGTGTCTTATTATCCAAAGCGCCTAATAGCCCGTAAAATACGGTACACCAATACAATAATTTTATTTAGTTAATAAACTTGGTTTGAACTTCTGAATTTTACTGTGTTGAGGCCATCATAGAGAGGGGGTCCTTGGGATATTTTCATACTGTCTCTTACCTCAAAAGTTTTGAGAACTCCTGCTCTACTCTGTCTGTGTCTGTCATCAACATGGCAAATTCCATCGAAAATGCAGGAACAATTTATGCACAATGAAGGCATTTTTCTGACAGATCAAACCTAATCAACGGAATTAGTAAAAACATAATAATGCCAACTATGTTTTAATGAAATCAGTTGTCTAACCCTGAGATGCATTTTAAAAACATTGTCTGATATACAAAATACAAATCTTATATTTTCTCATCCCTGCTAAAAAGAATCTCAGCTATCTCCACTTTGCTTCTTGTATTTGCTTAATACTACTACAACATCACTGGTATCACCACGCTCTTACTAAAACTCTTCTTCCTCTCCCAAACTCTCATCTGTTGCTCAGGACGACAGGACCGTATAGACACTTAAAATTCTGCACCTTCTGTACTCCCCTTTGCCTGGGCCCAAACCTCTTCACACCAGCACAGCCCTCTGACCGCGTGTGCGCTCATTATCTGTCAGGACGAGGACCCCTGTCGCCATTGGCTCTGTCTGCGAGCTGCTTTCATGCATTTCCCTCACGCCCAATGTCCCCCAAGGGCTTCTGTACCCTCCGTGTTCACCTCTCTTTTAACACACCCCAATGTCACTGTCAGTCCGCTCTAACATCAAGATACATTTTTACTTTTTCTGCCTTTAATTAGAGGCTCATTAGTGCAGTATTTATGCTAGAAATTGTCCCAGTATTTGGCCAAATTATTCTTTTATTGCAATGGTTCATTTGGGAAAGAAAGTTAAACTGGACCATTTAACCACCAGTTAAAACTGAATTAGCTAAATGGGCTGTTGGATGTTTTGTTTTTACTGCTATCTTCTTCTTATTATTGTTGCCCATATTACACTATCTTCTGATCTATGTTTTAATATTGTTTCCTCATCATAATCATACCTGGAGTTATGTTTTATTTCATCCACACATGTGTAACACACAAATTCTGCATTAAAGGTAGCTCTTAACTTGAAAATAGAGTATTTTAAGCTTTGGAGATGTAAACAGAGTAATAATAAAGGGTTACTCAAACATGTGTGAATGAAACAAAACACAACTCCAGGTATGTTTCTGAGGAGGTAACAGCATTATAACATGACTTAAGAGTCAATTTTAAGATACACTTTATTGCATTATTACGTATAGAAATTGGTCCTCTGCCTTTGACCCATGTTTTAATGTCAATAGGGCAACCTGTCAGGAGCAGTAGGTTTGGTCAAGCAACAATATTTATGAATTAACAAGACACACAGTATAGACAAAAGAAAGCCAAAAAGTTTGAAGCAAGTCTTTGTCTTTGAATGTTGCTTTATTTATGCCAAAGAATTTCAACTGACATCAGAGTCTTCATCAGAGCAAAGGCACTTCACTTCAGGGTTTCATCATTTTGCACTGATGAGGACTCTGATGTGATTTGAAACATGTTGGTGTAAATAAAGCAAAAAAAATTCAAAGACTGTTTGCATTTTTTTGCCTATTAAGTACCTGCCCTCTAAAAACCTTGATGAGCATCTGTGTTTCAGTATAACTTATCTGTGATCCGAGTAAGCACTCCCAGTATTTTATTCTCAGGATGTTTCAAACATGGACCACAATACTGCACAATATGGACTGTGTCTGATCAAACTGTACCTATAAAAGCGAACTTGATATGTTGCAATCTAGAAATGCACACGAAATAATCCAAGCATCACACTTTAACATCTATCTATATACTTTCATTTAGGAACACTTCTATCACACGTGGATCTGATCTAAAATTATTTTATAAAAATCTGCTGACTTCTGCTATTAGAAATTGCAGTGCCTAATGAAAGCTGGCATTACCGTTAAACGCCATCACAACAAAGAGCTGTGAAATCATTAGCACCTCCTATGGATAGCTGGAGATCATGCTAGCTATGCTATCCCACATGTATCAGTAGTTAAGAAAAAAAAAAAGAGAATGAAATATAAGTTTAGTTTAGTTTATTTATTTAATGAGACAGGGACAGTGTACAATATACATTAACCTTAACAGGAGAGATGCATTGTACCAGGTTGTAGTGCCAGTGCTAATTTCCATCTGTAGTCCCTGGGCAGGTTGGTGTTAGTTCATAAAATCAAACATACAAAGAGAATGTCTTTATTATGAGCATCATAACAATTCTGTATCATCATTCACTGCCAGTTCTCTCAGCATCTTAAAAACATCATTCTTATCAAAAACATCATTCATTTCATTCACTCCAGAGCATCACTCTCTCTTCACTCATCAAACACTTATCAGTCCACATTATGGGTGCAGGTTTGGTTTGAGAGGAGCCACTGTTTCGCCAGGCGTTAGAATGCCATAGTTTGTACATGTGAACAGTTCAGTTAGTAACATGTTCCACTGACAGACGGCCGCACATGAAAAGGCTGAGTTTCCAAATGCTGTCCTACGTTTGGGGATCCTGCACTCGCCGTGCACAGTGGATCGAGTGGCTCAGGAGGTGGTTTCAGAGCTCAGAGAAACAAACTGTTTCAGAGGAGGAGCAGCAGGACCGTGAGTGATCTTAAACAGCAGACAAACATTTGCTTACATTATCAGGTTTTCAAAACTTAAAATAATGGGTTTCACAAGAATATGACAGTGGTGGAAGAGCCGACTTTTCTAGTCATGGATCTTGAGAGCGCTTTTATATAATGAAGCACTTTTATATAATGAGTGAATAAATAAGTGATGAAAGATCGCTCAAACACGCAGCACGAAGCATCCAAATACAATCTCAAGAGGGTAAATGGGAAGGGGAAACAATTATAACATGGTTCAAAGCTCTGAAATGTCATAACATATAGCATAACAGGTTTAAAAAGAGTTTAGTAGCTTATGTTTGGCATTAGGTTACAGATGGCTGAGTTAAATTGCTTGATAAAAATCGCGTCACATAGCTGAAATGTCTCTAAATCTGTTTCCTCCTCCTCAGGCCGTTGAACATCCAGTGGTCCAAGATCAATGACACTTTACCAGAGCGAGCGGAGATCTCAGGGCCCACCTTCCAGATCTCTCGTCTTAGCCAATCACACAACGGCACGTACCTCTGCCAGGCCCAGAACGACTACGGCCGGGCTGCTGACCACTACACCCTGCTGGTCTACGGTAAGACACTAATCAATGCCTTGGTCCTGGTTTAGTCATTATCTGGTTGCAGTTTAGTCCCAGTTTGAATGAGGTGAATTGGAATAGGCTACTGCAAGAATTTAAAATATGTAATATGTAACTTTACTGAGGGAGGCTGCCTCACTGGTGCTTGTGTCCATGAACATTACATTGATTTGCCTGAAATGTCCCACAGTGTGACATGAATGTTATTTATCTCCATGAAAAGAGAAGGCCATGTTAACTGTCATTTTTAAAGCTATTTCTTGGTAACAAAAACGTCTCAAATAGAATAAATCAAAGTTACCATACTTTGGAATATTGCAGGTAAAGTAAAAACATCTCCATGGAAACAAGCAGCTGGTGGACCTCTCACCAGAAAAGTTACATAATGCAGCTTTAAATAAGACACTGTGTCTGTATAACTGGGTCATAGCCTCTTCAAATCTATTTATGTAAAATAGTATGTATGTATCAAGTAATTTGTATGTATGTGGTTACAATTTTTTGCTCAGTCTTGTTTAACTGTTTTTTTTTTTCTTCTGCAGTTTACATCCTTGAAAAGTAAAATTCTGAATATGCAATTTTATTTTCCACCCACAGCTAACAATTCAAAATAATTGTCTTTGTGATTGATTTTTCGTTTGCAGCGCTTTTGTGTTTTGAAGATGTTTCGTTTGGAGACTAAATTAATCGATCTCTTTTATCTTGGCAGCTATTTGTGTCTGGTTTATCCGGGCACTGGCCAACGTACCTTTTAAATTGTAATGTTCCCCTCATCAGTCTCATCAGTTTTTGTTTCTTTTCTGACTTAGTACACAGCAGGAAACCTTTGCTAAACCTCTTTTTGCAATTGATTTAACTGTGGTATCGATCCACACAAGAAGGCATTGGTCTAGCGTGCTCAGATTCTGCTCAACAACATTATTATTCAGGCTATCTCTTGTAAAGAACCAATTTATCATGTCCCCAGCGAACCTGTGCTTTCTTCACTTTAACTAAAACCTCCTCTAAGTGGCTGGAATTATTTAACCGCTGGAGACGAGCAAAGATTGCAGATCTGACATGCCAAGCCACTTTAAGTCAAGGCTCTAAACAAGGAAGCATTTGCATGTAATGATGTTAATGCATTTTGGGGACATTTTATTATTATGTGTCGTACATGAACAGAACAGAGCAGAGTGTGTCCTTTTTGCTTTAGATGATGTTCAAAAAATTACCCGAATGACCGTGGACGAGTGTCATTTCAATTTTAGTAAATGTTGACATAGAAATATATTCAATTTCTTTGAATGGCATACTTAAAATGTACTATGTCACTTTTTTTTGGTGGAGGGTACACCACTTGCAAGAGTCCATGGAGATGTTATTGCTTTGCCTGGAATGTTCCACAGTATGACATTAAACTTATATAGCTTGCATTTTTCACTATATTTAATTGCTAAAAAAAAAAAAAATCTTAAGCAACATGAATTGTCACTGTGAGCATGGTCACCGCTTCATAGATCTGACCTGTTACTTGGACACGTGCTTGTCTCTGCAGTGACCATAGAGTGTATAAAGAAGTGGACTAATGAAGCCATAGCACCCATAGCGTTCAGCTCCAGTCAAATGAAGCTCACAGAGGCCTGGCAGTTACAGGAGTGAATTTGGAACCAAGTTACATATTAGGAAGATGGATTACATTTAGTGACAAAATAGCAAAATGGAAACATCATAATCATGTAGAGTGGGTTAAAGGAACAGTTTGGAATTTGGACATAGGGCCTCATTTCCTAGTGAGCCAGAGTGTTGGAGACGTGTGGAAACACTTTTTAAAATATCCCATCCAGTCCTTGTATTTGCAGAGGTCGCTGGTGCTAGGCTAGTGCATGTCAATGGCCATAGTTACCCACTCCACAAAGCACCCAAAGCAAATCTAGTATTATACCAGACTGTCGATGTGAATGTCTGTGTCGATAGAATAGTTTTATATGTAAAACCAAACTTGCATTTGAACTATTTATATCTGAGCAGCAGCAGCGGGTTGTACTTCCTGATAGAAAGCTTGGCAGCGGCGGACTGATATAGAAAAGAAAATAGTCCCTCAACATGAAACGATTTATGCGATGCAAGGTTAGTTTTATTTCAAACATTATTTTATCAACACAGACATTCACATCAACAGTCTGGCGTAATAATAGATTTGCTTCGGGTGCTTTGTGGAGTGGGTAAGCGACCTCTGTAAATACAAGGACTGGATGGAATTTTTTTAAAGTGTCTGCACACATCTAAACACTTTGGCTAACTAGGAAATGAGGCCCTATGTCCAAAATTACAAACTGCCCCTTTAATATGAAAATTTGGAAAACGGCAGGTTGCATGTTAGTTATTTAGCTATGCATGTTTATGTATACAGTCTATGATTGTGACAAATACGTGAAATGAGTGACTGTGGATCATTCTAGGCACAACATCAACATCTCCATGGAGACAAACAAGTGGTGAACATTCTACCAGAAAAGTTACATAGTGCACCTTTAAAGGGATGTTTGTTTTTTACCTTCCAAGACTTAGAAAAGAAAAAATATATGATTCAACATATTTTCAGTAAGCATTTTTCAAAGCACAAAACACATCAAATAACATCGTATCATCCAAATGCATCTTAAACATATTATAGGTCTGTTTTGCTTTTTGAAGCATCACAGCTAGACACAGGGACCAGAACATAGCTAGCTCCTTTGTTGTTGTGGTTTACATGTTTTTCCTGATGCACCTAGATACTATGGCTAAATAGTTAATGAAGGCGACCCAGATAATGCATGCTTTTCCGCACAAACATCACAAACATTGCAGGGATCAGACACTGCAACAAATTGGAAAACTCTCTGTGCAAGTCGCAGGAACACTCGATGCTTACTCAATTCACATATCAAAGAATTAGCCCTGCCTTGCTTTTCAGTCAAATCAGGACAACATTTCTATCATTATGAACTGGTTGCATTACTTTTGTTGTGCTACTGCAGTTTTAGGAGGAGTCGTAGGAGTAATAGTAGTAGTAGTAGAAATAAAAGTAATTGTTGTGTAGTAGTAGTAGCAGTTGTTGTTGTAGCAGCAGTAATTGTAGTAGTAGTAGTACTGTAATACTTAATAGTCCTAGTGGTGGTAGTTAGTAATTTTAGTTCATAGCAGCAGTAGTTGTTGTAGTATAGGTTTAGGTAGTAGTATAGGGTGTCCAGATATTCCTATTTACTCAGGACAGTCCCAGTACTGAGCCCTGTGTCCCCTGTCCCAATAGATTTTCAAAAACAGTGATTTGTCCCAGTTTTATACAAGAAATGTTCCAGGTGTCCCAGTTTTGATCAGTGTCATCCCAGCCGACAGTAAATACAATATGTAAATACAGAAAAAAAAATGTGCTTGAAAGTGATGAGAACACAAACACTGCATTAACAGTCTCTAAGATTATATAGAGGGCATAACAATTTTCCTCCGTATGCACTTTTCACAATTTTATTATTACCAGCCATCCCAAAGAGTCGGTGACCCAGTTTTTGATTTAAACAAATCTGGTCACCCTATGGTAGTATGCTTAATGGTCATATTTGTGGAGGTAGTGTAACTCAATTTTACTTTTATGGAAAAGAGAAATGGTTACTTGTATGGTAGAAGATTCATAGTACCTCTCAGAGCAATTTAAAAACTTTTCCTCAAGCCATACGCCTCTTTTTGTCATGGCTTGAGTACTTACTTTTTCCATTTAAAGAGAGAAGAACTCCTTTGGCATTTCACTGCATGTTATTAACCTTGTTTTTAACATTGTACGTGACAAATATAGCTCTCTCTTTGTCTCTGGATCAGACATTGGAACAAATTAGACAACTTTTAATGCCGAGGGAACACTCAGTCTTTACTCAATTCACATATCAAAGAATTAGCCATGCTTTGCTTCTTGCTTTTTGGTCAAATTAGGACAACATTTCAATCATTACAAATTCGACGATGGCTAGACACATCACCATCCGTCTGCATTTTCTAATCTGCGTTCCTAATTACACAGAAAACACTGCTGGAGTACGTTTTGCCCTTCAGATCTGGCTCACCCCCTGCTGGCCGGCTCTCGCTACTGCACCCTAAATGATCCGCACAAAGAGAATGTGAAATCTTATGTAGCTCTTTAGCCTAGCTTGAGGTTAGCGCCCCCTCATCTATCCATCTCACACAATCGACAATGGCGTACACGTGTAGTAGCATCAAAAGGCCCGTACTGTAATGGCAGGCAGCTAGCACAGGCATCCAGGGTGGCAGTGGTGGCTAGATGAAAGGTGACATCCCCACCCACTTGTTTCTCTAGCTCCCTTCTTCTCGTTCTCGGCGGTTGAGGGGCTTTGATGTAGGGAAAATGCTCTCCTTCTCCTCCTCCTCCTCCTCCTCCTCACTTCTTCTGATCCATCTCCACCCATTTCTGTTTCTGTTCTGTTCATGCCATCACAGATCTTTGCTGGTTGGTAATTGGCTGTTTTATTGGGGTTATTTCTTGATAGTTTATCTGTGAAAGGATTATGCCTATTTGCTTACGTTAGGTCATTCTAGCAGTAGTAGTAGTTGTCGTTGTAGTAGTAGTAATTAAGTTTTTCCATTTTTTTTTGTAAGTAGTTCAAGTGGGAGTATAGTAACAGTTGTAGTAGTTGCCGTAGCAGTGGTCGAAATGGTGGTAGTCAAATATTAGTTGTAATAATATTTTGAATTATTATTTACTGTTGTGGTTTTGATTAACCAGGTTGGCGCCACCTAGTGTCTCCACTCAATTTAATTTTTCTCCAGCGACTAGGTCAGGAATCGGAATACACTAGACGGTTTGTTGTAGACCATGCATCGGCCAATCAGCGAAGAGCTGTGAAGCCATGACATCAAACTCAAACGCCTGTCTGCGTCCATTTTGTAGTACATCACAACAGTAAACAAAGCGGTTGAGATGGATGTAGACGAAGCCATGCATTCTGTGTTGGCAACGATTC